TAAAAGCAATTAAACTCCAAAATAAACTTTTATTCTGCCTTTTCTCCTCTTCCCCTTGCGCCCCCCCCCCCGACATTCTGTTAAATAAATTTGCACTAATTGATTGTCTGTTTCAAGAATTTCTCGGGTGCTGATTAGCCCGTAGCTCTGCGCTAGCAAATATTTCTACAGTGTATTCGTATTCGATTAACTTGCCTAAGCTTATGGACTTTAGATTGACTTAAACATGTGCACTGGCTGAACAAAATATAGCATTTCAAATAAATGCACAGTTTGTTTCATGTACAGATTATTTAACGTCACTTGCGACCCATTCCTTACTGGTTCGAATTCGGGCCTGTTGGGCTACAGGGGAGTTCTTATCAATGTTATTGCGAGAGAATAGATACCGAAAGGAGGAGCGTGTTGACGGAAAGGAAAATAAGTTTGATGGATCAGGGTGCGGTGGATGAAGTGCCGTTTTGATTCTTATTCGCAAATTTAACACAATTTTTGATGATACTATTGATGAGGTCTGAGAATAATGAATAGATTGAGATGAATGATGCAGGACTGTTTATCACCAAACCCTGACGAAGTCTTGTTCTATAAAGCCAGGAAAAACTATGGTATAGCTCTATTTTATAAGTAGAACGGGCAAAACGTATTAATGAACGAAAGAAGTGGTAACCGATTGAGTTTCGGAATCACTCTGAGTTTTCGTAGCTGGAACAAGAGGCGTCTCGCTTTTCCAATACGGATGTAAATGTGTGTGTGGATCGCCGGTGAATACCGTCATTGGTGACATCCAGGTACTTGACAATAATCACCTACGAAACAGGTTCACAATTAGGAGTAGAAGAGTTTATTGGAAATGAGGAGTAAGAAAGATTGAAGGTGTATTCTATACAACTGATTGTTTTATGATTATGTTGGCTGATTCATACTTTAAATCTGAAATCAAATGTGCAGCATATTTTGCTTTCAAACGAGAACTGAATACAATCGGAGAAAAGCATCTCACCAAAGCAATTATTCTGTCAATAAAATTGTAATCTTGTGCCAATATTTATTTGTTTCTCATCAGATCCTGGCGTGCGTTTCATTTGTTGGCAAAGATTAAAATGCTATCAGTGCTCATTATTGGTAATATTCACAAACATTTCATACTATGTTGCCATTTGCTGGTCCTTGATTAAATGTGGAAAGGAAAATTAGCTTTGCAAGGGCTGAACAAAAAGTTTTCGGGTGCACAGAACTTTTTGTTTGCCATACAAAACAAACATCAACTTGTCTGAAAGTATTCTTCACCAGCGTTCTTGCATACAGTTCCATGCACTGAAACCATTTAGTTAAACCGCTTCGAACCCGGTAGCCCTTTTAATGCTGCGGTGGCCTCCACAGGTCGACCATACCATATCGCATCATCCAGGGACGGCCTACTTTGCTTGAATTCCGCAAACTGTTCAAACAGTGAGTGCTTCTTGAAGGCGCGTTATCATTAAAGGCAGATCGCAAACAATCGTGTCTGTTGCTGTTTTGGAATTCTAAAAGTTCATCATTCTCCGACTGTTGGAGTATAGCGACCCTCGTGTAACTTGTGAGGTGTGTTTGGTTGGATTGATATTTGATTCTCTGATTTGCATTCACTAAACAATAGATTTCAAATACGTCACAGTTCACGTTATTTCTGCCCGATTATCTGCACCTCAAGCGTTTTTACTACCTATTAGAAAAGATTTGCATAGCGCTCGTTCTAGAAACCGAGCACCAAGAATTGCCAATTGATCGTAATCTTACAAACTGGAGTTAATCCACATCAGAGGTTGTAGTAAAAATTCCCTGTTGTTGAAATTCACCGACCAATCATTTATTTACTGTTTATTTCACCTCGTCGGTTAAGGGTAACCTCGCGAATACGACAGATGCCAATACGATGCAATTTGTGCTCAATCAAAATCCACGCATCACGTTACAGATCAACCAATCATTCTACTGCGGTTTGCATTCATCCATCCATCCACAAAATTGTTCCCATACCAAAAGCATACCTACGGGAAGAGGAATGTTTGCCTCGCAGGGGAATTTCCTAATCTGTTTGGGCAGCTTATATTCAAACTGGATGACATTGAGGAACCATGTGGGATTTCTCCCGGTTTGCTTCATTGCGGCCATTTCTTGGTATTCACCACCATCACCACCAGTACCCAGAATTCCAACCACAGCGTTGCGCTCTTCTTGACAAATCACTCTGTTGCGTGTGAAGATACATTTTTTACATTCGTTTCTTGATTTGATCTCAAAGTCATTTATCAGCTGTTTGCAAACATTTTTTCCGAAGCCCGCTTAGTTTGATCTGATTCGTTTGCCGACATGCCAAGTAACAGGGCTTGCCATGCATAATATGATCCATCACTGGCCATTTTGGGTTGTGGTGGGAGTGAACCACTGTACGACGAAAATGACGTGCATTTGAACTTTCAAAATGCGGAAAAAAAACATTTTCAGGTAAATTGGGATTTTGGTTGCTTTCAGGAAGCAGTAGGCTGCTTGAACATTCCCAGTGGAATGTGATTTGTTGTAAAACAGTCTTCAGCAAAGACTCGAAAACGTGTACCATAATGCGCACTTTTATTTTCGATAAAATCCCCTATTAAGTGACTAAAAAATCTTTGAAATGTTTGAAATTTCGTTGAAAAGCCAACGACGAAAGGATACAAACCACAGTCAGTGGTTCATTGGTTTTCTTGGTCAAACAACATCAACCATAGGAGAGCACACACACTAAATAGGATGAAAAGCACACAAATGAAGATCACATTTCCATGCTCGGAAAGGTCAGACTCTCTTACTCTTGCTCGCGCTTTTTACACACGATAACTATAGAATGCAAGCTCTCTTCATATGTTTATCTCTGTAGAAGCAGATTCTTGTTTTGAAAGTACCATGCACGCGATTTGGAGATTTGGAAAAAACTTTACTTGGAAAATTTGAGTCACGAAAGAGTTAGAGCTGAGCCTAAATAAAAATGTTATCTTACCAAAAATGTTTGTTTTTCATTCCCAATGCTTTCCTATCCTCGATGACCGGTACAAACGTAGCTTAATTAAAAATCACTTAATTCACCACGGACGGCATCCCATGACTGGCAACAAAGCAGATGAAGACTGGAAACACCAAAATCTGTACACAATCTGTTTGTTGCGGCTGTTGAAAAAAATCTTGTTGTGCTAACTTGATCCATCTGATCGTGTTAAGGTTGACGGTAGTTCCCCTCTGAAGTTGCACGGTGGCTTACAATGCATTTAACTGCACTGCAAGCCACCGCACAAATTACGTTGCTTCCGCCCAGTACCGTGTTTGTCAATGAGATCAAAGTCCAATAGCCGCTGTAGTAGTAAGACATAGCCCCCCACAGACCGTTGAACTATTTGTCCTAACCAAGCATCCGCCTTCTCCCACTGTATGTGAGGGAGGCACCACCCATACCGTGGCAGTCTATTAGCCGGCTTTTTTTCCACTGAATTCAATCAATCTACTCATTATGCATGCATTACACATTTTTGTTTACTTCGGAAAACAAGCATGAATACGAACTATGAGAACTACCGCAGCTAGCAAAGTGTCCGACATGTTTCAGTTAATGCTCGTTGCCGAGCGGTGAACGATGCGGCTCGATTGTTCCACAATTGATTATCCCCGAACTTTGCACCCACTCAAGAAACCTACCTGATTCCAGCACGTTCAACATTACAATTTTTGTGCACCTGTTACAAACATATGTAAACTCAAATGGTATTGAACAACTGTTCCGAGAACTGACCAATCATCTTGACTCAACGTATAAATGTTTTCCTATGACTCCATGAAATTTAGAAATCTTTCCAGTTACATTCCCTGACCCATTCCGTTGATTCAACGAGATAAAACCAAAGCTTTTTGTTTATATACAATCATTCATTGAAGGAATTGAAAAAAATGAATTATT